AAGACCTTCAAATTTTTAATAACACATGTAAGTTAATAACTGTAGTTGCAATTCAAATGCACTTGATTGGAACCATAATAGACCTTTCTTCTTATATTTGTTTTGCTTCCCTGGGGCTTGTTGTCTTTAAAGTACAAGATGACAGTCAAACATGTAATTAGTTATGATGAATATAGTAGTCAGAAGAGTATCCTCCTTTGCTCCACTTTCTAAAAGTTGGTGTCTTTTTTTCCTGTAGCAAATATAATGTGCTCTAGAGATATAGGTAATCCTCCTGATTTCTTCCTTTTTCATCCCATTTTTCATTCTTTGTTCTCCTCCTTTGTTAAAATAACTTTTTTTTTTTTTTTAAATATACCATTGTGCAACTGATTATCATCAGTGTATGGAGGCACATTGGAACTTGTGAAGAAGGTGGAAAAAAAACCTCATCAATCCAGTCCTGTTAATTAGGAAAGTAGACCCTTCCCTTTCTGTAGCACATGTAGAAAACTTTTAATTTACTGAACATACAGTGGAGACTTGCAAAAAGAGTGAAAATAACAGGAGAAAATTCCAGGGTGAAGGTTTGAACATTGTAGCTCTCATAAAGTTAAAATTGTTCAAGTCTTTAAACTGGAGAGTCTTTTTCTAAGGCTGTAGGCTTACGGCACTTGTTCGCATTTCATCAACTTGTAACAGGCCTCGCTTGCACTACATTCCAGTCCTTTTTGTAAACCTGGCAGCTGAATATAATAAATAAATAAATGAAAGGGGTAAGGGGTTAGTAATAAGCTCGTCCATCAGCTGAACTGCTCCAGATGTTCTCTTGGTATATTGACAGGAAAAAAAAAATAGGCACAAAACCCTAACAAACCCCAAACCAACCAAACAAACCAAAAGCAAACAAACAAACCAAAACCAAACAAACACCAGAGAAGAAAAGAAAGAAGGAAATAGAAGGGTCATTAAGAGGTAAATAACAAAATGCCAAAGAGCTTTTCCTCAAGAAACCATCTGCTCCAATCACCATGAAAATTGTGCAAGCATTGTGTTTTACTTCTTAATGCCTAAGGGGAGTTTTTTGCCAATATTTCCAAACCAGCTTACAGGCCAAATGAGCAATCAACAGATTGATAGCTGCAGCCTCTGGAGCCATGCCTTGGCTAGTGGGATATATGTCTAATCAATGAGGAACTCTGGGAGGTGCAAGTAGAGGTTTTGAGTGATTATGGTAATAGTGAAACTGCCCAGAAAGTGTGACAAATAAACCATGAATATTGAAGTACACCAGTATACCTCTACTGAGAGAAACTGCCTCAGTGAGTATCTGCACATCATCGGCAGAACTATAAAGTTGCTGATTTTGCAGACATTTCTTCCTCAGCTTGGTAACTTAATATATATTGTTTAACATGATAATATAGCAAGCTGTTGTTTTGTGGTTTGAAAGCCAGCTGCATTTGATTGATGCCAGGAATGGAAGTATTTATAAAATGAAGCTGAATTAGAAGTAGTCAGTTTATGGATCTGGGGAAATGAATCTTTTATGAAGAATAAAACTTTATGATGAAAGAGTAATACGGAGGAAGTGTGCATCTTGAATTAAACTCTTTTGGACTGGATGTATGTTGTAGAGCCTTTTAAAATAAAAATTTATGTTACTATATTTTTAGGAAAGAGATCTCTGTAAACATAATCTTTTGTGGTAGTCCAATCCTAAATGTGTGGTCACATGTGTTTTTTCTGTGAACAACTCAACTAGGATAGGGAAGTTTTTCCCTGGAAACACAGCTATCAGACTTCTCCAAAAGGTACCTGGATTGTATTTTAGGTGTTGGTTTAAAGCTGGTGTGATATCCAAGGCATCAACCACAAATACCTGCCTGTTCCAGATTTTTGTATATGCGAAGATTTTTGTTTTGTTCTAATGGAATGGAATATAGGGTAGGTATCACCGTGCTTTGAAATGAATGGACAGCATTGATCTCTGGTTAGTTTGCAAACGTGCTTGTGAGCACAAGAGTATGAAGGACATGTTCCTGAGGACAAGCCGTTCTCAGCATGGCTGCAGAACCCTAACACCAACTTTCAAATCAGTGCAAGGACTTCCTTTCAGCAGCAGTATTCAGCAGGTCCTCTAGTCATTGTAGTGATGTGAGCATACAGGTGATGTTTTAAGAGGTGTGGTTTTCTGTGTTGATGTTCATGAACAGGAAACAGATACAACCTTACATAGATTGGACTAATGTGTTGTGACATCTAAAGACAACCCCAAATTTTGTGTGTATTTTTATATCTGTTATATGAATATGTGAGAATAGAACAACTGTTACTTAAATGTAAATGCCACTTTGATGGTAGCTAGAAACCAGTATCCCAAAACTTTTGACAGAAGCAACATAGAAAAAAATGGATCTAATTCTCTACAGCTTTCCTCTTGGAGCTAGCAGCTCTATGCAAAATGAATGTAAAATTAAAAAACCGAGTTGCTGGTATTTCTTATCTGTATGTACCAAAGGGATGATTGCACAGAGCAAGATAATGTGCAGTGAGTTGAGAGGTTAAAGAGCTGCAGCTGGCAAATCAGAATCAGATTCAGCCATGGTATTATGCCAGAGTAACCAGAGATTTGGGGATTTACATCAGATCTTAAAATCTACATGTGCCTTCCACAGTCTTACAATCAGAAATATTTCAGTAGAATTGTCTAGGACAACTGTATAAATAGGATTTCTGCCTGAGTATATATTTTAATCAGTTTCTAAATCTCTGCTGAGCATCAACTCATCTAATAGATTAATAATGGTAGCAGCTGTATATTCATTTGAAATACAGTCTAATGTACTTGAGTGTAGCATCTTATTAAATTACATTTTTAGGAGAGTTGCATACTGAAACCCATTCAATTTCACTTGTACTTGGACACTCTTGAAGATTTGTCTTTACTCTTATTTATTTCACTGAAGTCTTGTGACTTAGGAGATCTTAGTGAAATGTGTTATCTAATATGAATATAAATAATCTTCTCTAAATGTGATAAATATCTAAAAAATAGTATGGTGTGTTGTACTTTTGAAAAGAGGGTGAATCTTCATTCTTCAAAACAGAAAGCTGCTTTTTTTTTTTCTCTTTCTCCTGAAGAAATCTGAAACAAAGTAGATGAAAATATCGGGGCTAGGATCACATAGCATTGGAAAACATGGCATGGTATCCAGTGGTAAGCTTCTTTTTTGAGCTATCTGACCTTTAATCACTGGTGAATAAAACCAACATGCTGTCAGATCTCTGTTATTTTTCTCAAGGGGGTAACTGCCTGAAGTAGCAGTGAAGCAAAACCTTTGAGAGTTTATATTCAAGGTCACTACAGCAAGAGGCAATACTTTGTACTCTGGGAAGTACAGCAAAAGAAAAAAGAAGAATCATACCTAAACAAGTCAGTTGTGTTTGTTTAACAGTGAACAAGGCAGTTGTTATGGCAGCCCATAAATGAAGCTGGGTTTGTTTTTACTTTTCCCACAATGTTTCTTTTTTATTTGATTTTTAAGTAATCTGTGCTTCAAGACCTTCACAAAGAATATAAACTCACTGCTTATCATTGTATATGAATGATATATATTTCTGTTTTGCAGGCACTTCCAATGTAATGTCTTGGGCCTTGTCTTTAGCAGGTGGTTTTAATCACTTGTAGCTATTTTGCCACAAAAGGCTAGATGGATACTGAGGACAGATCATATAGCCTTACAGATGTGCTAAGAAATTAAAATGTTGTATTTGAAATATTTTTCATCATGATATTTTAAAATAATACCTCCCCACTGAAAGTCAGTGGTGGAAAGAAAGGGTTAGCCACCACATGAGAATTAATCTCTAACAAAGAATTATAACTGACTTTGACATTGTGGTTCACACGTTAGATAATACGATTTCAGTGCTAAGCTACTTAAAAGTAAATTGTATAGTTAAAGGAATTTGATAAATGTTTTAGTTGGGATTTTTAGGCAAAAGAATGGATACCTTCCTAGATTCCTTGTTTGTATAGTTTGCTAATACCTTTTGCATTAATTTGTTACTTAACTTTGATTCATCATTGAAACTAGTTTGTTGATTTGATCATGACTTTTTTATTATTTGGTAGGATTTTTTCTTTGTTCACGTCAGTATTACCAGAAATACTTTAGTTTTGGTGTGATGATATATTACTGTTAGTTAGATTTAAAAAAAAAAATAATAAATAAATAATGCTTACATTTATACCAATTTATAATTGGCAACATCCCAGTCTTCCCTGTATTAACTGTGATGTAGAAGAAGAGTGAGGTTTTCCCTCTGCATGTCATTTAGGAATCTGTGCAGTCAACAGTTTTACCTTATTGCACTCTATAGCAGAACTGTGTGCTATAGGATTTTCATGTTAAAAAACAAACCTTAATCACTTGGATAGCCTGGCAATAAAGGTGTTCTGTTGGTTTTGTTTTGTTTTCTTTTTTTTTTTTTAGTTGAGGCTGATACAATAAGCTCATAAATTTGTACAAATTTACATTAGAATAATGTACGCTTTAACCATTATAAAATTTCTTATTGACAGAAAGTTTAATGTCCAACCAATTCTGAAACTGTGCAAGACTTTAAAGTGAAAATAGAGACCACTCTTATTTCAGCATTGTCATCTTCACAAAGATCCTGTAGACTTTCGATCTGTAGAATTTAAAGTGAAAAAGATAAATCTGTAGTTCATTTAGTGAAATGCAACTAATATGGATGGCAACAAAGCACACAAATATGGGGAACTTGTTAGTCACATGTCTGCTGCAAACCAGAAACACTAGCCTTTTGTTGTTGGCTCAGTAGCAAGTAAAGATAATACAAATACAATTACAAACTACATATCAGGTGAAAATACTTAGTGATCTTGATGAGATAATTATGTATTGTACACACCTGGTTCTCACATGTGAAGGCAGCATAATTTTACATGCTCTTGCTAAATGCATTCTGTTGTCTGTTCACCTTTCCTGTAGGAACGACTGTGATGCGTATGACAGCGTTTGATGCTGACGACTCTAGCACAGACAATGCTCTTCTGCGATATAACATCCTCAAACAGACACCTACCAAACCATCCCCAAACATGTTCTATATTGACCCAGAAAAGGGAGATATTGTTACAGTGGTGTCACCTGTACTGCTGGATCGTGAGGTAAGTGAATGTTTTCCTATTGCCAGTCTGACATTTTAAAGTTTGTGCCTATAATCATCTTCTGTGAGGTGAAAAGAGGTTCAGAGTATTGCAGAGGTAGCAGTTCAGATGCTCAACTCTGAAGAGTCTTTTAACAGTTTTGTTTATTTCTTTTGGCATAAGGAGTTATATGCTCTGATCAATATTATAAATCTAGTAGTTCATAACTTCTGGGCAAGGCATTTAGTGTTGGATGGTGAGAGCAAAGATCTCAGGAATAAGTGGAATTCAATTTAGAGTTACCAATTGACTGTTTGGAAATGAAAAAAAAAAAATATAAAAATCCTAATTGTGCATATAGCTTGTGACAATTTGGCGCTTTAAATACTTTTTCTAGAGGTTGGTTTGTTTGTTTTTTTTTTTTATTGAGTGGACTTAATGGACAAATTAACTTACTACCCCATAGACAAAAAATGAAAATACAAAAATAGAATAGTAAAGGACCAGGTAGTCTGCATGTGGTTTTAAGGTGAATTACCATAGTACGAAAAATCTATGTTTATTATAGATCATTAACATTATAAGAGCATAAATTGATAGCAGAGAAAGTTTAGGTATGATCATTTCATGTTCAGAAAATAATAAAGTAGAGCCAAACTGTTAAGACAAAGGTTTAGTTATCAGAATATATGTGACCTGGACACCAATACAATGATGACCCTAAGCAGTTACTCTGTAAATCACTGTTTCTTTTGATTACATAGCCCTGTGTGTTCTTAGGTCCTGCAGACAACCAAGTTTTCTTGCAGGCTGTTTCAAGTATGTGCTGATTTACTGAACTTGTCTTCTAAGTTGGTTAGATTCAGGATTGTCCTATTTTCTCAATATTCAGCACATTATTTTTCATTTTAACCAGATCAAAATGATGCCCATACCATTTCCTGTTGTAGGTGAGTAGTTTTTCCGTGGGCTTTTCCAACAGCAAATATTTGATGGATAAACCATTAAATGTAGACCATTCTACAGGTCTGGGCCTGTAGAATTTTCTTTTAGGTTTAGAGAGATTCCAATTCTTTTGTACTTGTGTGGCTGGCCACAGAATCATGCCCAAGATAAAATTTGTATGATCACTGCCTTTTTGCCTCAAGTTTCCCTTCTAAATTCATTGTTTCAGATAAAAAGCTTTATACTGTTTTCTAAAGTCAGTTTAGGTATTTTTATTCCTAATGAATAACTATTCCCCAGATTAAACCAATTTACTCAAGATTAGAAAATCAATGGAAGGGAATGAACATGACTGCTTTTCCTAGTACCTTCCAAAGGTCACTGGTGATTCATGAAATAATAATGCTGTCTCCATACAAGAAGTTCGGCCTCAATCGAATGGGTGTTATGGCTGGGTAGTATATCCTGAAAGCAGGATCTGAATTCCTCATGATTTTTAATAATAGTCAATTCAATACTTTAACTTTGAAGGTGACATGGCAAGCTGCAATCTTGTTGAAACTGCAAAGTTAATTTTGTTGTTGCTGTAAAAGCTGTTTTATGGGCCAAAATGTAGGACTGTGTAAAGTTTTAACACTAACACCAGGCATTATCTGCTGTTAAAGTCCAGTATAACATTGTCTTGTTAGGTGAAAGGCTTGGGAAAAAGGGGTTTTTTTCCATTTCTTCACAAGATGGTCTGTGTTGTGCTCTGTCATCTTTGTGGGTTAAGCCTCTTTTCCCCCCCTCTTGCTTATTTACGTCTTGTGTAGAAACTGGTAGTCATGCCTCCTTTTTTATATCTGTGGAGTTAGCCATTCATGGTCAAAGATGTAAAACTTATATTTTTAACCATAATAGCAGCTTTTAGAGACAAGCAGCCTAATGATCCTGTTCTGAACAGTTCTGAGTACCACCATAATCTTGATGCTATGTAAATAACTCATGTATTTCTGTGTTGCTCATGAAATTGAATTATTGTAGGAGAATTGTCTGCCTCAGGTGGAGAGAGACAGGCGTAACATCTGGAGGAGGAAATGTCTGTCTAGCTACTACGTAGGGAATAAGGTATCTGCATATCACCAGACTTGAAGAAGTGACTTTCAGGATGTTGGAAAGTTGGTGGGGCAGGAGAGAGTGCTATTTGCTGCTCCATTACTAGTGCCTTTTTGTTATGACAGCGTCTCTGGTGAATCTTTGTAGATATTAAATGTTTTGGCTCTTTATCACAATCTTCTATGAAGAGCATTGCAGAAACATGGGACAAAGAAACAATCTTTCCCTTGAAAGCCTTGCTGGTAGGTGTGTAACATCAGAGGATAAAACCTGTGGACAGAGACATTGAATGATGGTTGGACAGAGACTGCATGAAACAGTACTTATGAACAGGAGAGGAGTGCTTTTACTTCCTCAGTTCTTACCCATCTTTTGTTGGTATCTCAGTGGAGAATGTATTATAGTAGATGTGCATAGGGAATAGCAAGTTTTTTCATGTTTTCCATTGCTTGGAAAAAAAAAGAATTGATGTTGAACAACTCAACTGATCCTTTGGGATGATTGGGATTTGAGTCAGCAGTATTTGCAGGTAACTGGGTACACATGGTATTTATATTTGGGGCTGTGGGGGAAAGTGCATTTCTACTGGGGAATTCCACAGCTCCAGAAAGTGCAAAAATTTGTCTTCATGAATCTGATTATTCATGACTGCCAATTCAACCAGCAGCTTCTACTTGATTTTACTTAAACTTTAAATTGGATCAATTGCCTGTGATTTTTCTGGCTTTTGCTAGCTCTATTTATTTTCTATTTGAATCTTAAAAGCAAGTGACAGTCAAAAGTGGATTATTCTTAGTTGTTCCTTGTAGGTGTACTGTTTAAACTGTATTAGCCCTAGACACAAATTAAGAAAATGGATTAAAGTAAAAATTTATTTAGGATGGAGAAAAGAGAAAACTATTTCTCATAAATCATATGTATGTGCACCAGAGGTTGATGTGAACTCTTTTAAAGCATAATAAAAATCTGGTTATAATTACTCATACCTACTTTTAGTAAGTTTTACCACTGCTTGGATCTTAATGCTTTTGGGACACCTTCCATTTCATTTAAGACAAATTAACAGAATATAAGTTGTTTGGCATTTTCTTTTGGTTTTGATATTTTTTTTCATTTTAAGTATTATTTAATGTTTTTGCATCAGAGGGAACAGGAGACTGGAGATGCTGAGTTGTGGAGATATAAAGCATCTGTCAGGCTTTGCACATACTGTATAGTCCATTTTATTTTTCTATGCTTCAGCATTTTCAGAAAAGTTGCTATGGCATAGCCACAGAAATTCTTGTTTCTGTGCAAAAATTCAAAATACAGGTATTTACCCTAAAGTAAAACAAAGTTTGACCATTTAGAGAGCTCAGTTTTTTATATCAAATTGGCTATATGTAGGAGAATCTTAGCATGTATTATTAAACATCTAGGTTAATAATTTTAAGGAGATGAAAATAAAATAAACCATTTTTTTTCTGGTAATACTTTAGAATTAAAAACAAATTCTAAGTAGACACTCTTAAAATAATTAAAAAAAAAAAAGAAAGGAAAAAGGAAATAATTAACTTGTTTCTAGTGAACCTCAGCTGTGCATTTGTTTGTTCTTTTAGCTATACAGGATCAGCTCAAAATGAAGATAATTTTGTTAAATTCCTTCCAGTCTTCAAAATTTATTTTTCTGTAACTGGCATTTATTAGGTCTCCTGCTAAATTGAGAGTATGGAGATGGGAATGATCCCTGGTGTGTTAAGTGACCTCTCCTTCAAAGGCTATTCCAAAGCTCTTGGGTGCATAAGGCAGCAGAAGGAATATGTAATGTGAAAGACATCACTCTCTAGGGTTGTTTTCTTTCTTACATGGTCTAGAAACAGAAAGATCATAGGTTTTTGGGGGGTTTTTTTGAGTTGCCTGTTCACTTTCAGATCCCCAAGCTAGCTATTTTTTGGGGGTTTTTTTTAGCTTTGGTAGTAATTGAATGGGTGTTTGATTTAGCACAGATGGGTAATAGTGTGTGCTCTGGAGCTATTTCCATAGTATAGTATCACCTCCAAAAGCATTAAGCAAAAAAAGTAATTCTCTCCAGTATGCAGAAAAAGTGTATGTAGGAATCCCACAGAATAGATCCAGCAAGCTGCTGAGTGCTTTTGATTTCTATTGACATCTGCCAAGGGAAGCTGAGTGCTTCATGCCTCCAAGGAAAGACTTAGCACCATGCAGGATTTGTATTAATATACCAACGCATTTTTATTTATAATTTTTCCAGAATCAAAATTGGTTCCAAAAGTGTATGATCCTCAGTGTTTGCAGCAAAACTCAGATAATTTCTCAAAGAACATCCATTTTAATTTTCAGAAGGCAAGTAAGGACATATTTTTGAAGATTAATGTGGGCTTTTTTCTTGTGGGAGTTAGGCATCCTTGAATGTGTCAGCAATAAAGATTGAAGAGTGTTAGGGGGCAAATTATACCTCCAGATATCCATTGGAAAACACATTTTGATTCATAAATTCAGAGGAGAAGGATGTCCTCCATCAAAGTGTGTGGTCTAAATGACCTGAAATAGAGCACAACAGGGGAAGGAAAAAAAAGGGGGGAGGAGGAGGAGAAGAAGTAAAAAGGAGGAAAGAAACCTTGAGGAAATGTCCTGAATTTTGCATTTCAGGGATGAAGAGTCCACTTCAAAGTGATGCTTCCCTGCAGCAAAAGAAAAATAATACAATTCATGTGCATAAGAGGAGAAAATGCTTGTACTCTTGTAGAATCAACTCTTAAATTTCCTTTATGGGTCAGTAATTAGTTTTTCTGCTTACCCACAATACTGTTTTGCCAGTGTTACAGACCCCTCTGCTCTGCAGGGAAGTAGCTGTATGAATTGTATAAATTGTATATGACTAAAGTACTATAAGAAAGCTGCCACCACAGTTGCTTAAGTGAAATATTTACTCTACTTCTCACAGTTTGAGGAGTAATATGCTTTTGCTTTTGATAGGAACT